GCAACAATCCCAGAACCTCAGAAATTTTCAAGTGGCATGAAGAAGCCAGACTGGTGGTTAAACCAGAGCCATGCTCTTTGGGCGCATGTGTAAACGTCCTGAACAAGGAAGAAAGCTCAAGCTCTTAGGTTTGTTTGGGTCTTACAGATTGTTATCTGAACTCCAAAGCAAGGTTTTCCACAAGCTGCCAGACCTGATCCTATCTGTTGGGAAGGATGGGGGCCCAGGAGCAGAAGGGCAAGGGTGGATCCTGAAACAACTTCCTGGCCACAAGAGGCCTGGTCTGTGGATGTCTCCCAGGCAGGAGCCCAGAGGCACCTAGCCCTCCCCAACACCATTCCCCAAGATTTTTCACAAAGCTTCATAACCTTTCACCTGCAAAGATCTCTATATTCTGCTCCCATATTTTGAAAGACTGTCACCAAAATGAAGTAGGTAGTAATCTCTCAGTAATCCCAAAAATGTGTAACCATCATGAGGCAAGCAGAAATACCATGCAAGAAACCCTGTCACTTTAGACAAGACCCTCAAACAATGACCTCTGTGGCCTTAGGGTGAACTATATGATTCTGCTTTCTGAAACAGGGAAACTAACATGGGACTTAGCAATTCCACTTCCAGAAATAAGACTACAAAACCACTTCCATAAGTGAACAAAGATACATGTGTACAAGAAAGTTCATGGCAGCACTCTTTAAAATAATGAACAACTGGCAACAACCCAAAAATCCATCAATAAGAGAATAATTAAATAAACTAATATATAACTATATAATGGAATACTCTGCAGCTGTTGAAAAGAATGCGCTAAATCCACATATACTGGTGTCATAGATTGAACTGTGCCCCCTAAAAATGTCTGTCAACTTGGCTAGGTCATGATTCCCAGTACTGTATGACTGTCTACCATTTTGTCATCTGATGTGATTTCCCTGTGTGTTGTAAATTCTACAACTATGATGTAATAAAATTAATTAACAGCAGTTATACTGATGAGATCTAGAAGATTAGATAGTGTCTTAAGCCAGTCTCTCCTGAGACATAAAAGAGAAAAGCAAGCAGAGAAACATGGGGACCTCTTACCACCAAAAAAGCAGTGCCAGGAGCAAAGCGTGTCCTTTAGACCTGAGGTTCCTGCACTGAGATGCTCCCAGACCAAGAAAAGATTGATGACAAAGACCTTCCTCCAGAGCCAACAGAGAGAAAAAGCCTTCCCCTGGAGCTGACACCCTAAATTTAGACTTGTAGCTACTAGACTGTGAGAAAATAAGTTTATCTTTGTTAAAGCTATCCACTTATGATATTTCTGTTATAATAACACTAGATGACCAAGACAACTGGCAAGGAAAGAAGTATATCAGTCACTGAGCAATTATATCAAGTGGCTATGTGCCAGAATCCATGACCATGATGTATCGTCAAGTAGTTCAAAAGAGTATGTAAAGAGCATGCCCAATGAGGGATTTAAAAAAAAAAAGTTATAGACCTGTTTATGAAAAAAAAAAATTCTGAAAGCGTACAAGAGAAACCATTAACAGTGACTGCCTCTGGGGTATGGGAATGTGAGCAGGACAGGTAGAAAGAAGACTTGTACTTCTCACTTTACATACTTCTGTACTGTTGCTATATTTTAAAAATCATTAGCACATATTATAGTTTTAAAAGTTATTTTAATAGAAATATTAGAAATGTATATACTAGTACATGCATAAGAAAAAAAGCTGGAGGAATATAAACCAACCTATTATGGAGATTGTGTCTAGAAGGCACTGTCCACATTACTCACTCCTGTGATGTTTTAACTTTTAAGAATATCATTTATAATCAAAATTTGTATGCTTTCTTTTTAGAATAGAGTCACTCTGGGGTCCTACACTTACTTTAAGGACACTGCTCTGCATAGTAAGAGTTGGTGAGCTGAGACCTCCTTCCATCTTAGGGCTAAAAGGGGGAGAGAAGTTCAAAAGTCTGCTGTGTCCTCATTTTACCATGACCCAAACTCCATTTAAGGCATCCTACCCAGTACCCACCCTGTCACCAGAAATACAGACTCTAGCAATGTACCTGTAGTTCTTCCAAACTCCCAACTTTCAACCCACAAGTATTTACTGAGTTCCTGCTATGGGCCAGGAACTCTGCCAGGCTGTGACAGACAAAAAGAAGGCAGCCACAGTCCCTGCTCTCAAGGAACGTACAGTCCAGATGGTTCCACACTAACAGTCCCTTAATCCATTACTCTTATAATACCTTGAGAAGCCACTTCAAGCCCTCTGAGATGATCTTCCCCCAAGCAAATGAAAACACCACATTTTTCTCCCTGAGCATCACATGAGACACCATGGCAACAGAGGAATGTACTAAGAATTAGCTCAGTGATGAACTAGCCAACACAAACTGGCTTAATACTCACTGAGTAAGATTCTTGGAAGGAAAGAGTTCAAATAAATAAGTTTCTCTCCAGCTCTCAACGAGCAGGAATTGCTTCCCTTCTTCCAGGGCTATACTTCCCAAATTGTTTCATGCCACATTACACATAGAGAATGATACTATTATACAGCACCCTGGGGTCAATGAAGTCAGCTGTTCTCAGCTACCCGGAAGCTTAAGGATCAATACTTTGGCACACCTATACCCCATTTACATCACACAGTTGGGAAACTCTGAAGAAGATCAAAGTTGCCTGTATAACATGCTCATGCTTATAAAGTAAAACAGAAGGTCAAACCAAAGTCTTGCTCATTTAACTATGAACCTGTGCCTGACAGAGAACTCCAGCATCTATTTCAGATTCCATGGACACTAGGAACCACAAGGGCATTCTGTTCCAGGGGTCAAGCAAACCTGAGGAGAGGCACAACTCTAGCTCAGTGTCAGAGGCAAATGGGTTTCCTGAAGGCTGCACTTTCTCCAGCTCATGTATACAACTTAACAGGCGAAGGAACTGCAATTAGACCTGGACAATGTGCTTTTTCAGCAAACTCTGGTGAGTCAGCATTCCAAATCTCTTCTAGGGGAATGGCCAACTCCAACTGCCCTGCAGTTTTGTCAGAGTCTTCCTTGATGACCAGAAATGACCTAAAAGAAGTCACATACCACAAGGCCACTTCCTACATGCGGCTCAGTCCAAAGAGCAAACAGGCTCATTAAGGTGAGACTTCCTTTTGACAAGGGACACACTCTGGGAAGAGCAGTCATTAGTAACAGTGGCTTCCATTTACTGAGTCCCAACTGTGCTAAGCATCTTGTATGCACTATCTCAAAACTCACTGCAACCTCATGAAAGGAATGATTACCATTGTTTTGTAATGAGGAAACTAAGACTCAAAGAACCTCAAGAACCCACAAAAGCCAGGAATTGAATTCAGATCTCTCTGACTCTAAAGTCCATGCTTCTAACCACCAAACTGTACTGCATCCCCAAGGTATGGGCAGTGAGACTGCAACAGGAGTCCACAGGCACAGCCAGTCCTTCTCACTGGACAAAGGAGAGGACAACGGCTTCCTGAGGCAATGACAAAGATTTTCAACCAGGGCACAGTAAAGTCAACTGGGGAGCTTCCCACTGAAGAAATTCTCTATCAGAATCTCGGGGAGTGAATCTGTATAATGAAAAACACCCCCAAGAAATTTTAGACCATCAAGGTTAAAAAGGCTATACCTCCTACCAAACCCACGGGGAATACACACATACAAACACACACACACACACACACACACACACACGCACGCACGCACACAATACACTTTTGCTGTGCTCCTCTCAGGTGTAACAATAGACTCAAACATAGCTACAATTGTGAGGACGGTGCAGAACTGGGCAACATTTCATTTTGTTATACAACCTGGGGGTCAGAACCAACTCAATGGCACCTAACAACAACAACATCTCAGGTCCTGGCCCCTGATAGGTGCTCAATAAGGCAGCTAAATCTTTCAAAGTCCATTCTTAAATCAGCAACCTATCCCAGTTTATTCAGCAGACATTTCTGGAGCACCTACTTCATGCCAGACACAAAGCCAGACCATTCAGCTACAGGCAGAAGACAGTCAACAACACTCACCCTCAAAAGGCTTACCATTATGCGACACAACATGATATGCTCAACATTAGCAGCATGGATAAAGGTATAGAGGAGTCAATGGTTAAGTGCGGGTGAGGGAGGCTTTTTCAAGGAAGTCACATCTAGGGTGGATCTTAAAGGACAGATAAAAGTTTCCCATGCTGGTGGGTGGGGGTGGAGTAGAAGGAAGACATTACAAACTGAGAAAACTGCATATCTAAAGATTAAGGGTATTAAACCACAGACTAACAGAAGCATAAACAGAGTGCAAAAGTGTCCAGGTGTTTACTGCAAGGCTAGGCCTCTACCAGACTATGAAAAGCCCTGAATGCCTGGCCAAGAAGCTTGGCCTTTATCCTGTAGGGGCCAATGGGCCAGTTTTAGGCAGTGGAGAATTTATTCAGATTTTCAGGGGGGAATTATCACTTCCCAGCTTCATGTAGGGGGACCAGTGTCGCGGGCGGGGCTTCCTCTTGCCGGCACAGGAATGACAGGCTTGCTGGGCAGGCGACCCAGAGGGACTCAGGCCTGTACAAGGAAGCAGTCAGCTGCCCCGCCGACCGCTGACGTTCGGTCGCAAAAGAAGGGTGTGGAGCAAGCACCGGACGCGAGAAGGCAATCAGGGCAAGCGGGTTAGTTCACTCTGACCCGCTCTGGACATGGGACGGCTGAGCACCAGGCCCACACGGCCCCAAAGACAGGCTACCCAGGGCGGCAGTACGTTTCGAGACCAGTCCAGCCTCGGACACCGGGGACCCCGAGCGGTCATCGCCCGGCCTGCTTCCCGGCCCCGTAGGCCCCGGCGCGCCGGGCATAGGCCGACGACTCCGGGCTCGGCAGGAGCAGGAAAAGGCCCCGGTGCGCCAGGAAGCGACTGTGGCATCAGCTTGTCCGCCCCTCCCACCCGTCGGGCCATCACTCTAGGCCGGGTCTTCTCACCTCGCGCGGGCGGCGGAGTCTTTGGCGTCTCGGCGGCTCTGCCGACCGTCTCCGGGCCGCGGCCACGGCCGCCGCCACCGCTGCCACAGCCACCGCCACCGCTGCCGCCATCCTCAGGCGTCAGCGTCGTGGCGTCATCACAGCGCGCGCCAGACGCCAAAACAAACTCGGGCCGCCCACGGGGCTGGCCGGGGGCGGAGACTCTGGAGGGCCCGGCTACGCGAATGGCGGCGCTCCCCGCGTAGCCGGCCAATCCACGCCTTCGGGGCGGGGACAGGCTGTCTACTCGGGGATGGGTCTATCGGTCACTCAAAGTAGCTCTAGCATAGGCTGCGAGCTGGATCTGCAATAGGAAAGGGAGGGGCCGCGGGCAGACCGGAGACAGTTTCTCGTGCCCGGGAAAGGGATTCTGTAGTGGAGGTTGGAAACGTAGAGCGTTTCAGTAGAGGTTTTTGGAAGTGTCTATGCAACTCCACAAAGTATTGATTTAAATTCCATTAACAACAGCTATTTTTTTAAACTATAATTAAAATAATTCAGGAACTCAGATATGTTATTTTGGCCTCCATTACATTGGAGTTGCAAATAGTTAACTTGGGGATTGGTGAGATCAGTCTTCGGCCGGTTTCCGTGTAACTTTTTTTGTTTTTTTAAATTTTATTTTTGTTGTTATTGAATTTAAGTGTGTCCTGAGACTGCAAAGCAGGCAGATGTAAAGAAAAATTGTTACCACTCACAGTGGCTTCTCTATAGGAGAATTGTTTTACTCTACTATCAAACCAAATTGCAGGGGAAAAAATCAGATGCTGCAGGTGATAAGGAGATTGTAGCCTCCATCCATCGTCCGCATTTCAGTCAGTTCATTTATTCAGCAAATCTTTATTGAGCACTTACTGTGCACCTGGAACCGTTTTTGTATAAGCCGATGTTATACTTTAAATTTAAAAACACATTAACACCAATAAAACAGCATTTTGTCTGTTTTATGTGGTAGAGTTTCATACAAGATTTCATTAAAAAAATAAAATTGTTAAAAAATTGTTTCCAAAACTAGTGTGATGATTAAGGGCATGGACTTTGGAACCAGACAAACCTGGGATCAAATCCCAGCTCTAACACTTCCATAGCTGTGTGACCTTAGGCAAGACATGTTCCCTCCCTAAGACTCACTTTTCTTATCTGTCTAATGGAGATCATAATCCTGACCTCAGAGTTGTTGTCAGGGTTAAAAGTAATATTGAATTCCGGAGTTGATGGGGCTCAGGAATCCACACAACACCTCATTTTACAGACATTCATCAAATTAATTCAACAAATATTTATTGAGCCCTTACTCTGTGCAGGTGCTGGTCTGGGCTCTGGTGAAGAGCCTGAGGCCCTGAGGTGACCAGCTATGTTGATGGTGAATAGGGGACTGGAATTCAGGACATCCAGCCCCTAGGCTCTTCCTTGAACAATATGCTTCTCCTTGTTTGCAGAGCTGCAAATGTGAGGAACATGATCACCATGATGCCCTGGCCTGGGCATCTGTGCCGAGGGCCCAGTCAGTTTGGCTATCAGCCTACCCCTCTCTTCAAGCTATGGGATAAAATGCACAAAGCCCTTAAGCCTCTAGCCAGAGAGCAGATTCTGTGCCCTCAGCCTGCCCTCCCCCACAAAAAAACACACTCCAGATCATTCAGTTCCAGGGAAGAGCACGGACTTAGGGAGCAAAAACCAGGGGAAAGTAGGTCACAGCAGGAGGATGGTAATCCTCGTGATAACTGGCTAGAGCAGCAGGGCCCCTGCTCCTGAAAGCAGGCTGCTCCTGGCCACTCACCAAGAGTGTCTCTAAGAAGACCCTTGGGGTGTGGAGCACCAGCACCATCCCTCCCAGCAGTATGTATAGGCTGAGGGGGCCACCCCACACTGATGCATCCTCCACACACCGGGGCCATTATCAGTCCAAGCTCTTGCTGACTAGAATGCTTCCTGTGCTAGACTTAGAGATTTTAACTTTCGTTCTACACACTCCCACAAGTGCACCTTTTATCCAGTTCAAGGCAGAGTGCTGGAAACACAATGAGAACTCTGACAGGGTCCTGTCCTTGGGTAGCTCATAGTGGAGAATTCTGACCCGGACCCAGACAGTGACAAGGACCCAGCAGTGCTATCATTGCTGAGACAGGAGAGAGCCCAGGTGTGGACCTATAGAAGGCTTCTGATCTAGATTGAGGTCAGGGTTAGGGAAGACTTCCTGGAGGTGATGCTGACAAAGAGTAGGAGTTTCCCAGGCAGAAATGGGGGAGGGTATTCTGAGCATAGAGAATAGATATACACAGATTCAGAGGTATGGAAAGCTGACCTTTCCTTCTGGAAAATTCTGTTGATTCATATATAGCTACTGGAAACAGATCAAAGGGGTCATATCTGACAGGGGTTTTTTCCTGAACTTTCTCCTTCATGTGATTTGAGAAGATGGGTAATGAGTGACTGGGAGATAGACATGGGGATAAAAGTCTAGGTGGCTGAAGCACAGGAGCACAGGTAGAGTCAGGATACAGAGAGGTAGTTCATTGAGGCATCTGAGCTAGCCAGAATGGGAGGGTGTTTGGGAAGCATAGAAAAGGTACGCCTCCTATACACCTGGATGGAGGTCTCTGGAGAAACCTGTCACCCTAGAGCCTAAGCAAGGATCTCATCAAGCCTGACTCTGTTCTTGGGGTGGGGGGTGGGGTTAGGGGGAACCTCCCAGCTTGGGCTGCTTAACTCTGGGCTGCCACCGTTCCTCTCCTTCCTAGCTGATTCCTTTGGACTTCTCCAACCCCAGTCCGCCTATCCTCCACCACCATCACCTGCTGGTCTTGCATCCTTACTTCCTATTACCCTCTGTTTGAGTGCCCCTTCTCTGAAACTTCCCCTGACTCCAAAGACTGGGAAGGTGGCTGCTCTGTGCTCCCACAGAGCGATGTTTCAGGAGGGGTCTAAGCTGTGGGCAGAGCTGACTTCTGTAGGGCCTTGTAGACAAGGAGAAGGAGCTTAACATTGGGATCTGTTTTCCAATTTAGAAAGCGGAGAATCAAGTGGAAGGAGCAAGAATAGAAGCCAATGAGGAGGCCATAGCAGTGTCCACACAAGTCAGGGGTGGTGGCTTAGAATAGGGTGTTGGAGGTAGTGGTAGAGAGTAGAGGGCTGATCAAAGGAGTTTAGGGACCTGGCTAGTCCCATCCTCTCTGAGGTCTCCTCCTTCCCTCAGGATTCTGCCCATGCTGATTCTTGTCCTTCCTCTCCACCAGGATGAGCAGGAGGTCCTCACACACTTCCTGCCCTCATGACACTGCTTCAGAAAGCCTTCTGGGATTTAGACTTCTCACTGAACACCTCTTCTCAAAGAAGAAGCTTGTGAGGAGCAGAGGCCAGAAGAACCCTCATTGTGACCCTAGTTTCTGCAGCTCCAGGTCATATCAGCAGCTTGAATGTGGACTCCAACAGGGGCTTCCCACCTTCTGGAACAGGCCCCCCTCAGATAGTTCAGAACCCCAGAGAGGAGGGGACACGGCACATAGTCTGAGCTGTGTCTTGAAGGCTGAGGTGGTAGAACGGGGATGGACTGAGCTGGGGAAGGAGGATGGACTGGCCCGGGTGGAGCAGGGACACTCCAGTACATCACCCACCCCCTAGGAACCAAGATAGGAGGGGCCGGGCTAGGAGTGCGGGGATGAGAACTCCTGCCCTACCGACCTGCTGCCCCCACCCCACCCCCACCCCAACTAGTCTGGGAGGGCTGAGAAAGGGCTATGTGTGCTGGTGAACCTTGGGTCTCTACAGGAGCTTCTGGGAGCTGCATGTAACGGAAAGTTCTGTGCAGCCGCCAGGAAAGAGATGTCTGTGAGAAGAAAGATTGAGTCCCCTGAGGTGGCTCCCAGGCCCGCCCATCCCAGGAACCCATTCTGCGGCTCAGCTTCAGGGAACCCCCCACTCGCAGCCAGGAGAAAGAAAGGTGCTGAGTACAAATATAAATACCTTTAATGAAAGCCGAGTGCACGCTGCAGAGCCCCGACTGCGGCCGCCCCGGCAGGACTGCAGGCAGAAGCGCTTCTACCAGAGCGGGCGGCTAGGCCCGAGGCCCCAGGATGCAGGCGAGCGCGAGCGCCGCCGCCAGCAGCTGCGGCGTGAGGGCCGGGGCGGACGCGGGCGCGGTGGACCGCAGCGTCTCCTGGTTGGTCTCAGGGCCGGCGCCGCGCTCCCGGACGCGCACAGAGGCGCGGCACAGAGCGTGCAAGTTATCTGCGTGCGGGGCCCTGCGAGCCTCTTGCTGCAGTGACTCCCACATGGCAGCCGCCTCCTTCGGGCATCTGGACAGGACCCGCGAGGTGCAGGCGTGGAAGTCATTCCAGGACCTGTTAAAGGCGTGGGGTTAGGCGGATTAGGCAGGGCGAAAAGTGTTAGGGTTCGGGCCGCCACCCTTGCACCTACCCTTACCTGCAGACGGTCTCCAGCTCGCCTCCGCGGCCCATACCGTCCCCCATGCGGATGAGACACTCAGCGAAGCCCTGGTACATGGTGTCACAGAAGCCTGGGCCCGCTGGGGCTGCTGCTAGGGGAGGTACATGGACTGGGGGTGGAGAATGGTAGTTAGGATGAACCGGGCCCGCCTCTGAGCCCTCAGGGGCTTGTTTACCCAGAGCGCTTGGAGACGTGACTCAGCGTGAAAAGGAGGACCCAGGGAACTGAGGGGCACGTCTGGGGATCACCTGTCTCAAGCCCCTTCGAGGCGGGATCTGCACCCGGATACATGCCAGGGGAAGGGGCATCACATCTCTTCGGTCGGCTCTTCTTCAGAGCTTCTGAGGCCCCAGGTCTTGTGAGGGTGGTCCAGGTGAAGGTGCCAGGACGTGGTGGAAGGGGGCGGGGTCCTGGGGACCCGGGCAGTATCCAGTCTTCCTGTGGCTTAGATGAGCTTCCTGTGGCCCGCCCATCCCAACCCCAAAGACAGGTGTTTTTCGGATGGGGCCAGAAAGGATAGAGAGGGGTCAGATCCAGGCCAGACCCTCACAGAGGATCTCAAGGATCCCACGGCTGGTTTAGGGAGTCCCGGCAGAAACCAAGTCTCTCTTTATCAGAAGGGGGGGCTGCGGAATTTTTGGGATCCTTACCCCACAACCGGGGCTCTGTTCCCGCCCCTCCCTTTCCGTCCGTAAGCCACTGGCACATATTCGGACCCCAGGTTATCCTCTCCCTGGAGCCCTCGCACCGCGTCTCCACCCTGACGCCCGGCGCTCAGGAAGGCTGCGCTCTGGTTCCCACGGACGCCCTAAACCTGGCCGGGGACCGGAGAGAGGGGTGCGACCCTGGGTAGCCAGGCCAGGCCCCCGTTGCACACACTCACCAAGAGGCAGTAGCAGCAGCAGCCCCAGCGCGCGAGGCGGCTGGCAGCGGTGGCGGCGGCAGCAGCAGAGCATGGTCTTCGGCTGGAGCCTAGTGCCGGCACTAGCAGCTAGGAGTGCGGCGGGTCTGCCCAGCCCCCGGAGAGAGGGGCCGCGATTGGCTGGGAGCCGGGGGCGGTGCTGCAAAGCCAGCTGCCGGCTCCGCCCTCAGCACTCAGGTTGTCAAAGGAGCGAGGCGAGACACCAGAGAAAAGCACTCTGAGCCTACCTGCTCAGAGATGAGAGGGGAGGCTCTGGTAAGGCCGCTGTGCAGATGGGGGTCGGTGCCCAGGTCCCTGGGGGTAGGTTAGAGTTGGCCTAGACAGCGCTCCACACAGGAAGAGAGGGGCAGGGAACAGAGAGGGCAGGCGGTATCAGAGTCACACCAAAAACACACCAAAAGTACACACATATTCCATTTTATTCCAAAAGCATTTAATTGAATTTTTCAACGTTTTCAAAAACAGAAAGATCCAAATCAGAGGTAAAAAGGAACGTGGAAAATTCAACTCAAGTGATGTCACGATCTTGGGGTCATGTTCCAAGCATGGCAGAGCCCAAGAAGGCACAGTATCTGTCCTGGGCCCAGCCTAAGCCTGCTGGCTACCACAACCTGTAGACCACTCCAGTGCCCTGTCCCCACCCACACACACCCCAGAGATGGGGCCTGAGAAGGTAAGGGCAGACATGACCTCTCCTAGACCTGTCTGCTAGCCTTCAGTGCCACCTCACCCCTGGGCAAGGTGGGCTTGGTTGCTACGGGAGGCTGGGGGCCGCAAGGCCGTGCAGCATGAGGCTGAGACGCCGAGCCGCTTTGCCAAGTGAGTTGTGTGGCTCGGCCTGCAGGAACTGGAAGAGCTTCTGGCGCACCTGGGCCATGACAGAGCCCATGTGGTCCCGAGTGATGGGGTCACTGTGGTCCAAGTGCATCACAGCCTCCTCCAGGTAGCTGGGGGTGGGGAAAAGGGACAAGCTACAGCAGATGGGAGCACCCCCTGGTGGCACCAAGGCCCAGAAGGGCCGCTGTACAGGGAGACCTTCAAGCCTGAGAGGGGTGGAGGCAGAGGGGCTTGGGGAAGAGTGTTCCGGAAGGGAGTCAGGCAGGAGTGGGAGTCTACATGAAACTCCTCACCACCCAAGCAATTCCCTGGCCCCTAGCTGTCTCCACTCACCTGAGCTTGAGGTCAGTTCGAGTGCCAAGGTCAGAAGCCAGCTGCTGGATGAGGGAGAGGAGCACAGGCTGGGAGAGCGGGCAGGGTGGCTGTCCAAAAACCTGGGCTGGGTCCACAGTTTCACACACATACAGCACCAGGTTCAGGTCAGCGGCTGTCAGGGCCTCAGGGAAGAAGAGGAGAGCAGGATTTATAGCTAGTGTTAGATGGAAAGCCTGTTTCTTTGTGTTAAGTGTGGCCTGGGAGATAAGGACCATAAAGTGGGGTGCTAAAAGCTCCAGAAGGGCTCCTCAGGGGCCCAGAGAAAGCACCGTAGGGCTGTTTTCACTCTAGGGAATCAGGAAAGGTTTCATGAGAAGGGTGGTTATGAAGCAAGGTGGGTTGAGATGGGAAGAAAGGAGTTTAGGCAGAGGGAGCAGCAGGGGAAATAGCCTGGTGGCCTAAAAGAACTGAGGACCAAGAACCCACCACAGGGGCCAGAATTCCCAGAGGCTGAGGGGTGGAATGCAATGTATGATGGATGGGCCTTGTCAGGAAACACATGACCCTCACCTGGGGCTAATAATGCCCAGCATACCTGCTGGAAGGCCTGATTGAGGTGACCCTGCTGCAGCAGCTGCAGGATGTGGGCTTGCTGGGCCTGGCAGTCGAGGTGGGCAGCGGGGACCGGTGTGCCAGCAGCTGAGCGCATGGCCTGCATGATGCTGGAGGTGACAGCAGCCTGTTGCTCCTTGAGCGCCACACTCACCTCACCCTTTACAATGCGCTGTACCTGGGCTAAAATGGATTCCTGCAAGCTGCAAAGAGAAGTGAGGTAACTGGAAGCCCAGTCTGGCTGTGCCCAAACCCACTACCTTGCCCAGTGTCCCACACACCTGCTCACAGCCACGTGCAGCTGGTGCTGCACCTCAGCCCGGACACTGCTGGATACAGTGGCCGCCATCTGCTCAGTGGCACCCTGCAGAGTGCTGACCAGGCCCCGCAGCTGGGCCAGCACAGGCTCCCGTGCCTCCTGTTCCCGCGCCTTCCGACTCTTCATGTGGCTCTCTAGCTGCTGCAAGTCTGAGGGGTGACCATGGGAGCCATGAGAGGGTGGTGGGGGAGAAGGGGACAGCCCCTCCTGCGTTGGATCATATGATGTCACTCACATTCCTGTGTGCCCAGCCGGAAGCTATCATTGATCTGCTGGAACATGGCCTGACAGCTCTTCTCGAAGGCGGGCAGCACCACGCTCTGGAAGGCTTCACGATAGGCAGCCTGCATTGGCCCCTGTAATGTGTCTGCAGCTGCTCGGGCGATGGCATCTGTCAAGTTCTGGGGATGGACAGAAGGGCTGAGTTGAAAGCGTGAGTTCATCCTGGCCTGTCCAGGCTCACAAGGCCCTGCCCTGGCACCTTGGGTCCTACAGTACCTTGGACTTGAGCAGCTTGGAGATGTTCTCTTTCATGGTGCCCTCTACAGCTGTAAGCTTGGTGGCCACTGAGCTGCTCAGTTGGCCTGCCACAGGCTCCAGACTCCTGGAGACACCTAGGGCAGAGTAGGGAGGTGGTAGGGCTATGAGAGGAAGTTTGACAGGTAGGGGGCCCATCTATCCTTATTCCCGCCTGGTCCACCCAGAGGAAGCCCCCACGCAAAACTCACACGGAGGCACCGTCTTCTTGATCTCATCCCGTATGCTGCGCTCCAGCCGCCCAGCCACAGCTGAAGACAGTGCCTGGGACAGCTGCTGTGTCAGCTGCTCCTGCAGCTGCCCACCCCGCTGCTGTCCCTCGGCCAGTGCCCGCTCTAACCGCCGCTCTGCATCACAGCTAAGGAACGGGCCTGCCACAGGTCCTATACATACCCTTCCCAGACCAAGAATTTTGCCTCCGTCCCTATGCCATCCTGGGCCACCCACACACAAGGATACGCTCCTGCTCATGCCGTGTCTCAAGGGCACGTTCTACATGGCCTGTGACGGTGCTTTGTAGGCCTTCGAGTTGGGTGCACAGACGCTGCAGGAGCTCTTCTTGGCAGTGCCGCAGCTCTGCCAGCTCTCTCTGCTGTTGCCAAATTATTGTTGGCCAGTCGTCAGGGGGTTCTACCACCTGTCAGGAGCACCAACAGTCATATGACACCTGACCCATCCATCCCCACACACTAGACTAAGGAATGGCCCAGAACCCTCACACCCATGAGTATAAAGAGTGCTCACTCACTCACCTGGTGCTCCGTAAGCCGGGATCCCACAGCTGTATCCCTGCTACAGGCGAAAAGCACTTCAGGCCAGGTCGGGCAGCCTGGTGACCACCCCCGCCCTCACCCGAGAACATTCCCCTACCTGTCGTCCTTCTTGCCCTTCCTCTTGAGCTTGGGTGAAGCCCGAGGGGAACCCTTGGTCTTCCAGTCTTTGGCAGGTAGCCGTGGAGTGGGAACTTTGGTGCCAAATCCCCCTGAGGCAGAGGCAAGGCTTGCCACTTCGTCATCATGGTCACTGTGGGAAGGGGAAGGTGTGGGTAAGTGCCTGCCCACTCACTAGCCCTCCAGGAAAGGAATGGGAGTGGTGCAAGGGGCACCAACCTTTGCTCGGCACTGGCATCCTGGCTGTCATGTTGCTGCAGCAGGTGATAAGGTGGCCGGTGGAAGGCCAGGCTCTTGTGCTTTTCCTGGAGGCCATTTCTGGGGCTGGAGTAGGGGGAGCAGGCCAGCTCAGCAGTGGATGACTCTACCTGCAACCTCTCCCATCAGCACACTCTGCCCCTCCCAAACTTACATCTCTGCTAGGCTGCTGCAGGTTTCACGAGTAATGTCGGGTGCCGTAGGCCAGACCTGACTGTCAGGGGCCACAGCCTCTTGGGTCAAGGCTGCCTCCAAGAGGGAGGGGGTACTATGTCGATCGCCATCCCCCGTGCCTTCATCCAGGCCAAGCTGCGGGCCCAGTTCGGGCCCTGGCCGGGGCCGTGGAGACAGCAGGTGTAGCGCCGAGGCAGCTGAGGCCATACTGTCTGGCTCAAGGCCTTCAGGAGCAGAGGAGCCAAAGCCACGGGACAGGGCCTCAGATGCAATCTCAGGGATATCTTGGGACAGGGCAGTGGACGCTGAGGAGATAACGTCGGGAGAGCGGGTCCGGCTAGGGGAGGCCTGGGGTAGCCCCAGGGGCTCCACATCCTGCAGCTCCAGTGACAATGCAGAGGCAGCAGTGGGCACCTGAAATGAACCAAGATGGGGCTTTAGTGGTAGGAGGCAGGAGTCAGGGGAGCACAGAGCCAAGAAGTTGGTGATGAGGAAAAATGCAGGTCAGAAACAGGGCCACAGCCCAGGAGGAAAAAAGGTAGGGGAGGGGAAGCTGAGGTGATACCCTCCAGATAACATGGCAGGCTAAGGTGACCTCTGGGGAAACATGGGGGACCGGACGTAGAATAGGACCAGGAGATGGGGTGCTGTGGAGGGAGACTGCCACCAGCCTTCCCTGCGGCCATCCGCTTGCTCCCCTGCACTTCACACACACCCACACACACACCTGCACAGAACCCTTGGTCGTCAACTTGTCAGCTGGGCCTGAGAGCAGGCCAGGCAGGAGGCTGCGCGGGCTTGCCTGCAAGTTGCTGCTGCTCATTGTCAGGCTGCCGTCCAGCTGTAGCTTGGGGCTCAAGGTCAGCTCCTCGGGTGGCCTGGTAGCAGGAAGGCTGAGGCGTCAGCACTGAGAGCTTGGCATCACCTGGCCCTAGCCCCTGCCACCTCCCAAGTCTGGCCCTCCTTTACCTCACCTGGGCAAGGAGGGGTCCACGGCTGAGGTGCTGCTAATGGCAGACACAGCTGTAAGGGAGCCGCTGCCGCTGTTGCTGCTGCTGCTGCTACTGGGGGATGTGGTGATCTGGGGAGATG